AGTGCACCGCTGCTAACGTACTTTGGGGTGATATCGTCAGTTGAGCCCGGAGGTGACATGTACTGCTCAACACCAACAAGCATGGGGAAGGTTTGGCTTCGGGGCCTTTGGAAGTTGTTGTTCCCTGGCTGTCCATTCGCAGGCTGGCGGCTTCCCATGAATGGACTCGGGCCGCATGCTGAATCAGGCGTGAAGAAGGGCGAAGAGAGCGACGTGGGGCTTGTGGCTGTATCCGTGAAGACGCTTGACAAAGATGTACTGCTCTGTGAATGGAAGGGTCGGCGATGGTTCGAAAAGTCGTATGTGTCGGGGCTTTCTGTCTTGAGATTTTCCTGACTCTTCTTCGCTGTCATGGTCGTTGTCGCTGGGGATACCCCGCCAGGTGAGGTAGGCGAGATGGCCCCTGGGGTATGCACATTGGATGGCGGATTCGAAGTCCCCTCCGACTCTTCTGCTATCGAAGTCTTTCGTGACCTTGCACCACTGAGATGATTCTTTTGCTTGAACTTTTCCAACCAGCTCGCACTGTTTACCTTGAGGTGGCTCTCTGAGTTGCCGACGGTCTGAGCGAAGAAGCGGGCCTTCTCTCGGATCTGAGCATCTGACAGCTGTGCTCCCTGTTTCTGATGGTTTCGTGCCCAATTCGACAAGGCACGTTCGATGTCCGGGAATTTGCCTTTCGACCTTTTTATGGGTGATCGGCTACCATCGTCCTGGTACAAGTACTTCTCCTTCTGGCGCAACACTTTCGAAACGGTACTACAAGACTGTCAGCACGGGAAGAGACATGCAGGGTATGCAGTGGTACCTTCGCTCTACGCCGAACATTGCTAGGATAGCGTTAGTAAAAGATCCATGTGAGTCTGGTGCGTGGTGCTGGCATACCTCCAATTTCCGTTTGCTTGACAGTGGGATTCTCTTCATGGTATTGGCACATGCGTCTGCGGTCCGAGTCTGTGAGAGTCTTCCGTGGTGTCGACGAAGTGCGGGAATGTGTTGAGCTCGCTGAGACTGGCGTTGCTGATGCCGGCGTTATCGGTGGTGGGGCTGAGGGGAACAGTGAAGCTTGGTAAGTCGACTGGCTGGTCAGCATGCTCGGCCATTGCGGCATCTGCGGCATGATCAGAGGCTGCAGCTGTGGATGCGTAGTCCTCGGTGTCGGATGAGTTTGGTGGGGTGGATGCATGCCGTTCCCGTAGATGGGCTCCATCGGGAGCGGTGCAAAGCCGTTGAAGCCATTAAAGTCTTGGACTGGAGACTGATGGTGTGGGTTGTATCCATTATCGCCATGCCATCCAGAATGGTGATCCTCGAAAGGTTCCTGGTGGTGGTGATGGTGGTGGTCGTGATCCATTTGCAACTGGCTCATGTCGAAGGCAGTAGGTATTGGAGTGGTGTATCCGTGCGAGTGTGGGAACGAGTGTCCGTGTTGGGTGCGGAGCAGAAGTAGGGTGCCAGACGGGCATATGCACCTGCACCGTGGTGTTGCTATACCTAGGCGGCGTGGGTGACCTCAGAGCGGCCGAGCGCATACATGCATGAGACGAGATTTTGGTTCCTGAGGCGAAACAGCGACAAGTCAATGTACCGCAGTAGCGGGGGTAGCGCTGACAAAAGGCGCTGGGTATGACAGAGGTCAAAACATATAGGTATAAAGCAGCGCGGCAAAGCAATGGCCTTAGATGGAGAATTGAAACTGCAGGGAAAGCCTGGCGCGGCGGGCCTGCAGCGCGTACTTGAGGATAAGTCTGGGGACACTGGTAACAGGCCCTGGCTGTGCGATGCGGGCGCGGCCTACTGCAGCTGGCGGGAGAGGAGCCCTGTTTGTTTCGAGCCCAAGCTTGCCGGCAAGCCTGGCGTGTGCACAGTGATCCTGGTCGCCATTCGGCCAAGCGACGAGCGACGACGTTGGGCTTAGCGTGTGCGGGTCTCTCATCGGGGATGCGCCCCTAGGACAGCGCGGGCCAGAATTATGCGGCCGCCAGGCTAGCTCGCCAGTGCATGCCTCGACGCCTGACTCCTAGCAAGGGCAAATGGGATGTCAAGGCAGCCGGGTGGGATCATCCCATCAGGGCCCTCGCACCGCTGAGCACGTCGCAGCCGGCTAATCTGACGCTTCCCGAACAAGACATGGTCTGAGTGGAAGCGCCATATTGGCTTCGCCTCGTGCGCCCAGCGAAATACATCCTGGCCGTTGCCGTACGCTCGTGGCGCGAAACAGTGGCAGCCGATTCAATGCTGCTCAGGTACGCGAGCCTGTGGCGATTCCCACGGCAGGGGCAAGACGTCAATCATCGGCTGTGCATAAAGGAGAGACAGAAAGTGTCGACGGCTGAAACGCTTTCGGAAAGCTGCAATAATCGCGCCCATGGAAAATCGAGGTTTTGCCGACCAGCCACTCAGGCTTTCGGGAGCGATAATGATTTAGCGCCCGACTGACAGCGTGCCCTCTGAGTCGCCAGCACAACTAACCCCTGCTGATTTCTCCGAGTCGACCGCTGCGCCCGTTAGCAGACCAATAAGGAAAACCGACGCCTCAAAAATTGGGCCAGACAATGCTGATCTGAATCCATCAAATTCCGAAGCAAATATGGAATAAAAACAAATGCGACATGCTGACCCCGTTCCAATAACTCCAGCGGCGCCATTACCACGAGGGTCCGCGACGGCAATGTCTTGAATGACGCCTCCTCGGCAGGGGAAGCAAAGGCCTGGTATTGATAGCTTGCGGACGGTATCGGACCGCCACCAGTCAGTCGAGCATTGGCGATTGGCAGGTACGATCCGCGCCGTAAGCTGCGTTGCCCAGTGCTAGTGTCGTCCTGATGTCGTCCGCGGTGCTACTGGAACGAGCCCTCGGCCAATCCAGGCCGCGAGATCGGCTCCAAGCCTCGCTCTCTTCGTCATCTTCATGCTGCGACCTAGTATTGGTATCGCAGTGAGACATGTTCAGCCATCCAGAAGGCCCTTCTGCTCTACTCACTATTTCCCAAGGCCGGATCCATAACGCCTGTCGTATCTCGTAATCACGAGACCTTATCTAGCGCTTGACAATAGTGACTGGTCGGGTCGTCAGCTCACGATATCCATTTAGAGAGATAATACTGGGATGCATACCGATATCCTCGTCGGCAAGCTCGTGAGAAAGTCCCACACGCTGGGGCTGATGCTTGCATGATTTCCCGTAAACAATAGCGTGCTTGAAGTTGTCGACAATTGTCTTGTGGATGGAATTACACTACAGAGCGGTTAGCGCGTCGCGTTTAAGATGAGGGGGAGACTTACGAAGTCTTCAATGGTACAGGCTGTTGATCGCAATACCACTGGCGCCGAGTAATCCGGCATCTTGCCCTTGGGCTTGGTGTAAACACGAACGAGATTGAGCTTCTCCCACATCTGCTCGAGGAGCTCATCGATGTTCCACCCGTGCTCGGAGCTGATGGGACAAGCGTTCGGAATACGGTAGAGCAAATCGAGCTCCTCGATACTGATAGCATCAATCTTGTTCAAAGCGTAGATGACGGGGATATAGCTTCGTCCCTTGGCCTCAATAACATCGATCAAATCATCGACCGTGGCGTCGCATCGAATAGCTACGTCGGCGTTTGCCATTCGGTACTCGTTCAGCACCGCCTTGATTTCGCCATGGTCGATATGTGTGAGGGGAACCGTCGCGGTGATGTTGATGCCTCCCTTGTCCTTCTTCTTGAGCACAATGTTTGGCGGGCTCTTGTTGATTCGAATACCGAAGCCCTCCAGTTCGTTCTCGATAACGCTCTTGTCGGTGAGGGGTTTGTTGACGTCCAGAACGATGAAAATCAGATGGCAGGTCTTTGCGACGGCGATGACCTGTCGTCCACGACCTTTACCGTCCTTCGCACCTTGGATAATACCGGGAAGATCGAGAATCTGGATTTTGGCTCCGTTGTACATGACTTGACCAGGTACTGTAGTAAGCTGTATGTTGTCAGTACTGATTCTAGTACCAAGCGTATCCAACCCACCGTTGTGAACTCATATGCAGCGGCTTCGGAGTGCTGTCCGGTCAATTTGCTCATGAGCGTACTCTTGCCCACGGAGGGGAAGCCAATGAAACCAACACTGGCAACACCAGTCCTAGCAACATCGAATCCTACACCTCCACCGCCGCCACCGGACGAGGGCTCGAGCAGCTCTCTCTTAAGCTTCGCGAGCTTTGCCTTCAGTTGCCCTGTTCATGTATAAGCATACCAGTATGCAGTATCCGTCCATGAGGCCATACCAAGATGAAAAGACGTCGCCTTGTTCTTCTGGGTCTTGGCCATCTACGTCTCGTGTAAGTCATCGTGTTACGGTCGCGTATTGGGGTGTGGCTTACTTCGGCCTCGATGTCCTTGATCTGCACACCCTGTTAGCGCGTGGAATGGCGATATGCTGCGGCACTCAATACTTGCCTTGTCTACTGTGGTCGCCATCTTGAATTACTGTGTATCCTGACTTGCTCTGGGCAGGCGTGGAGAGGCGATGTTGTTGTTCAGAAATTTGATGCGACGCACGCCGCCAATGACGAAGCGGGGCACGGCTTCCCGGCAGTACCTTTCACCGCCACCCGATAAGGTTAGCGCTCAGCGCAGCACCCTTCCATCTCGGCTTCCATGCATGCTTCCTCGAGGCCTTCATAAAGTTCCCCGATAGAAGCCGCGTTCGGGGTCTTCACATCGGTGACCATACCCACCACTCTGGCTGAGCATATGAGGTGCATCACATGTCGGCGAACTGCTGACCGCCATGGATCCACATAGCACAAGCTCAGAACGCGCGATTTGTTACATAATGAAGCAAGCCCAGTCCTGCACAAGCAGCATTGAAGGCAGGCAAGCCAACGCTCTTACTCTCCAAAGGCTGTGTGTATTTAAAGCCCGCGCACCGAACTCTCTTTGTCGGAACTCCGTCTGCAATAACATCATAACCAACGACACGCTCGCCACATTTCTTCTTCCTCACATATCAACATCGTTACCATGATCGGTCGCAACACTGAAGAGGATAACTTCCATTCGCTCGTGCAGGAGATCAACAAGGTGCTCGGCCCCAGCAACGGCATAGACTCGGATGACGTAGACGAGAATGAACTCCAGGAGTTGATGAAAGCATACACCTCGGAAGAGTCGGAGTGGGAGAAATACTACTTTCCATCCGAGACATTACCATACACACGGAATGTTGTCGACAAAGGCAACGGCAAGAGTAACTTGGTACAGTTCCGGATTCTCGAGTCAACGAAGAGTGCTAACCGAACAGCTCATATTGGTATGGGGACCTGGAAAGAAGAGTCCGATTCATGAGTAAGTAATAAGATTTTGCGACTGTTGACATTAGCATGCCTTACCTCGCGAACAACATCCCATGGCTTCAGTCTCCTGCACGATGAAGCGACTTCGTTCGCCGATCTACTTTGATCGATGTGTCAGCAGGAGACACGCCGGTAAGACGACCTTTCGATAATTCATCATGGATACACCTCGCACTCTCGAATGCGCGACTCGGCGTTACAAGACCCAGTACTAACATCACCCCAGCCACGCAAACGCCCACTGCATCATGAAAGTCCTCAAAGGCAGCCTAACAGAAACCCGTTTCGCAACCCCCACCGAAGACGACGCACAAAACCAGCGGCCCATGATCAAAACCCAAGAGACTACTTTCGCTGAAAACGACGTCACATACATGGCTGATACGCTCGGTGTACATCGTATTTCCAATCCGCATCCCACAGACTATGCAGTTTCACTACATTGTAAGCATCAACCCTTCCAGTCTACCTCACACAACTAACCACCCACAGTGTACACACCACCCAACGCCGCAACCTACGGCTGCAACGTCTTCAAAGAAGACACATCCGGCGTCGTTCACAACACAACGTGCCATTTCTACTCCGAGTACGGCGTCCGAACGGGGAGGAAGTAGGCTCTGCCTCGTTCGCAGATCCGTTCCATCATCGATAGTATTGTTTGGTTCTGGAAGAAGATGTGGAGACGGATACGTGGATACTTTACGAATAGAGTAGCGGGTTGGAAGCGGTTATCGAGTAGGAGTTCTTCGATGGGAGATTAGGATGTGAACACGGGCTTTTCGTTGGACTACTATGCTAGTCATTTTTTACGTTGATTAAAGGTCATTCAACATGCAAGCCGGAGCACGTCAACCTAGGGGGGGAAACTGAACAGGTCTGGAGCCTACATTAACGTTAGCCCACCTACTTTGCAGGTTTCTACGTTGATGTAGGCTGCTGACCTGTTCAGGTTTTTCCTTGTATGAGGTGGGAGAGTCAGTGGAGTCGACTGAATCACAACAACACCCAGTCTCGCGTACACACGAACTGAAAGTATCAACTATTATATGCACAATCCTCAGAACACGCCAAACAGAACAGCAATGTATTCCAACTCCATCTATCCAACCCCATTTTCTCCTTCACACCCTCCGCCTCACCACATCTCACCCCCATCCTTACGGCCCCGCAAACCCAATCTCCTCCCTCTTATCATCCACCACCCTCCCATACTCCAACAGCAACCTAAAGAACCAAACCTCAAAGTCCACATTCCTCAACACCATATCATGCCACTCAGAACTCCTCTTCGCAATAAGCCTCGCCTTCTTCTCGCCCTCACTCGCGCCATTCCCGCCCTTCTTGCTTCCATCCGCCTTGACTCTCTCAATAACGCCATCGCCATCATCGTCAAAGACCCGTGTACCGCTGAACCACCGTACAAGATCGAGGTGTTCGTCGCCACGGAGGGAGAGGGGGATATAATGCACCCAGGGCCGTAGCCACTCGGCGTGCCATTCACGGAATAGCGCCATTTTGTAGGTTAGACTGCGAGACTTGAGGAAGCTGTAGAAGCGGCCGGAGAAGGCGTTGCCGTCCATGTCGAGGAGGTGCTTGTAGTACCATGCGTCTTGGCCGTCGACGCGTTCGGTGACGTCGAAGAATTCGTTTTGGGCGTCGCAGTCGCCGGGGTCGCATTGGCCGATGTGGGAGAAGTGGACGTCGATGAGGTCTTTGAGGGCTTTGCGCTCGATCGAGGTTACGGCGTGGGTTGAGGTGGGGTTGGAGACGGGTTCGAGGACTTTGGCGGTGTCGGGCGCGTTCAGGCGTTGGACGACGTGTTGGCGGTGTTGGCGTCGCCAGCCGCCGTTGCGACTGAAACCTCCTGTTGTGGAGCCGCGCCAGTAGAGACTGTTGGTTTTGTTTTCCCAGGTCGTGTCGTGCGTCTCGTCGTAGCCTACTTTGCCCATCCAGTACCATGGACTGGGGTATAGGATGTCCTGGAAGCTGGAGATCTTCGACTGTGAGAAGACGGGTGTCAGCTCATGGATGATACTGAAGGCGTTGGGGCGCTCGAAAAATCCGAACGTTGACGAGAACGAAGGCGAGTTACAGATATCAGAGAAGGCGGTTGTGTTGTAAATAAAGCCAAGGTCGCTGGCGGCATACGCGGTGAAGTTATCGGCAGCGTAGTCTTCGAAGGTTTGGGCCTGAGTGCCAGGGGAGCATGACAGCCGCGAATGCGTCCATGTCTGTTGATGCGCAAAGCGATTGAACTTGGTCGTGCTAACTTCAGCAAACCGTGTACCATCACTCAAGTCTTCTGGACGGGCAGAGAAGGCATTGCGAGGTGCAGTGTTCTTCGCAGTGCGCGGTAGAATTTCGTCCCTCGCCTTTGCCACCATCGACGACAACAGATTGTCGGGCACGACGACTCGCGGTTCGTCATGTAAGTTGAAGCCCAGATCCATGTCGGGCAGATACTGGACAAACTGCTTCATCATGCCAATGGTAGCCTGTTGTTGCCATTCATCGCCGCCTTGGAAGTTCTCTACAGCGCCATGGCGTATCGCAATTGCAAGCATGGAGCTATCTTCATGACCTAACGCATTCGCAATGCGCGACCGAATCGTCGATGGTTTGAGCGCCCAAAACGGTAGCAGCATCTCATTAATCGTGTCGTATTCGTCTATCATCACAACACCGTTGCGCGTCGCAAACTCGTACCATTTGTCGAAGTGCGGAGGTGGCGAGATCCCGTTCCTGCGTCGGTACTCTCGAACCGCATCAGCGAGCGACTTGGATTGTCGGTTAAGGGTGCCTTGGAAGTCTGCCTCTGCAGCGTCAATCAATTGCGCAGCCGGATGACCCTTGGTCAGATCTACCGACACCGGAGCAAGTGGCATCCCAGGCGGGGAAAGTGGTATGTCGGTAAGAACACCATGCGTGATGTGTTGATACGTTGGTGGTCCAGTGAAACGTCCGAAAAGTAGAGACCCCACTGCAAGAGCCATAACGATGAAGATAAAGCGACGCAGTCGCTTCGAGCGCCGCGAATCCATGACAATGGGAGATCCGGATGACTCAAAAAAGTGTACAAGTGCCGCCCCGTCGTAAATGAGGGTAAACAAAACGGCGGAAAAGGTCGGGGCGAAGTGTAGTTTCGCAGCAAGGTGAGAGAATATGGCCAACAGAGAGGTATTTACAGCGCCATATTGAGAGATCTATCGGCTAGTTAGTTTGATATTGTGACAGTACGTTGAGAGTGAAAGCTACGTCTCTGGTCTTGGAACCGGAAAGTAAAAGCTGGGGTGAAAGCCATGGCGACGGGTACGACGCGGCAGGACGCCAGACCCGCGTTTGGTAACAGGACAGCGTAATTAGGTAGTTCAACAGTAATATGGAAGAAAGTACGTACCAGAACGAAGACAAGAACATTTACAGTGGTGTGAACCGGCAACATCCACAAGAAGCGCTGCAGGATGCGGAAATTGTGTACATCCCTCCACTCTCGGTTGTACTCTCTGTATACGGGCTCCCAAGATATCGTGCTTGCAGTCAAGGACGACTCGGTAAGGATAGACGCAATTCCGCACACAACTGCAACGGCCACAGCGACATCTCTTAGCGCAGCTAATCGTTGCGGCCTCGAGGCACCGCTCACTGAGGCGCGCCGCAACGTACTCCCGTTCGCAGACCCAAGTCCTCGCTTGCCACCCTCGCCCTCTTCTGTCGCGGCTTGTATGGTGGTCTCGAACAGGACAAGACCAGTAGCAGCGAAGATGGCACTGCTGACACCGAGCGCGACCGTGGTAGGAACTGCGTAGACGCCTAGAACAGCGCTCGCAGAGACGACGAGAACTGCCAGTATCCCGTATGATGCGGTATGAGGCTGTCGCTCCGGGGGGGTCTTGGTCTCGGCTGCAGGGCCATCGAGAACAGTCCAGGTGGGTAGGGCAAGGTGTTTTGCGACCAATTGGTTCTCGGAGAACAGGACGGTGAAGAAGGGAATTAGGGCCTGAAGTGCTGTTAGACGGTCGCATGTTGTCCCTTTATCCCGTCTGAAAGTACCTTGGTCGCCCAAATGCCCTGCTTATCGCATGCCGCGCGGTCGCATATTACAGACAGACCCAGCAGCGCGCCAGCCAGCCAGCTTGTCTTCCTCTTGGCGCTGTCGCTGTTTGAATATATGCCCACCCAAAAGACAGTCGGCACCCATACTATCAGCCAGGATATCGTCGTTATGAGCAGCGAATGCTGGACCGGTGTGTGTACGTTTGCGACAGCCGCGAGGACGGTGTAGAGCAGCGGGGCGAGCAGGTGGTGGTATTTGACGACATTATCGGCAAGTATGGAGACGGCCGGGTGCATTGGAGCAAAGGGTGGGTCAGCGCTCGTCGGAGGGCATCGAGTTGTCTGACATGTGTTGGGTCGCGCAGTTGTGAGCGCCGGAGAGCCGCAACATGCAACCGTGCGGATCTGCAGGGTCGTGAGTGACGCCATGCCCGAAGCCACATCTTTTTCCATCCCCACAACTACAAAGCCATTGTCTTGGGTTCCATGTTTGCATGTATCTCAATTAGACCCAGATTTGAACATCGCTCCATCAGAGACCGATTTCACATGTCTGAGATGAAATCGAACGACACCCGCTGCTTGTCGCTGGGTACTCAACATGCATGCGCATCCTGCAGGAACACGTCTACCAGATATTTGGATGACTTGCTGCAATGCATCACTTAGCACGGGCCTCAATATATCTCCAGAAGGTTACACAGCGATGCGTGGTACAGCACAAGCTCAGACAAACTCAGAAGCCAGCCAGAGTTGAGATGGGCAATTCAGCTGCCTCACTTCGTATTGAGCATCAAAAGATCTGTTGATATTTGAGTATTCCCAGGCACTTATATCTTTCTAATTGCCAGCCATCTGCTGCTTCTCATTACCATTTGCTTCATCCAACCTTTGATATGCCTCAGTCTCTCACAACGCGGCTTGACTTGTATGGATGCTTCAAATCCGGAAGGCACGATGCTCAGTGACCCACCAAACCTGAAGATTTCACAAGTACCCACCATATTCGATGCAAGATCGTGTATTTATGGGTATCTTAATGGCCTCGGTCTAGCGAGACTTGTCTGCGATGCTACGTACAGTCTTTCCCTGTCACATCTGGAGCCTACGTTGACGTTGGATCACCCACTTCGCATGTTTTTACATTGATGTAGGCGACAAACCTATATCCCCCGACTGTTCAGCGTAGTAGAAAGAAGGCCTATCCAGCGTAGAATAGGTCTTGGAGTCGCAGCGCGCGACGCGCTGAGACTTAGGCAGGTAGGTTCCTGAGAGCACGCTTATGGCTTTTGAAGAAGTGGTTTTGATAACGAAGAGGGTTTTGAGCTTGATGGAGGATCATGTCACTGCAAGAAGTAGCAGTTTGATCTGGTAGTGTAGCGGTATTGTAGTTGTGCTGGGTCATGTAGACGGCCGCGCCTTCCCATCTCAAACTCCCCCACCTTCCTCACGAATTATCGTGCCACATGGCCGTCCTAGCGTGAGGTGAGGTATAACGAATTTTCCAGTTGACGTCTGCATCTTCTGGTAAGCTACGTACAGCATACCTTGTAAGTGAAGCTCTTTACCCCCACGACTGCCGCAAGAATGCCATCGTGTCTACCATGATCCTCGCCCGACGAACCCACGACTGCGCAGATTCAAGCGATACAAAAGAGACTAGGAAGAACTTCGAGATGGCCAGAGAATCGCCAGGCGCAGGTCTTTGCATGATATGGACGTGGAGCGACACTGCACGATGTCGCATGGCGACCGCAAAGCTGAGTGACACTCCAACTCCTCACACGACCATCCCTCGACTATATACCCAGCCTGTTCTCTTGCGTCTGTTCATCCGAAGCTGTGCGTGGTAAGGTGTCTTCCTGCCCCTCGACTTTGGTCGATCGAGCATAGTCTTCTCCTTCCTATAGTTCGACTCGTCCATCGTCCGATACTTACATACCTTTGACTGTGCAGACACTGCTAACCATATCATTAGTTTCGAATTCCGACTGGACGATATCCATCACCTATCACCCGCAGTACGTCTTCCCTCCCCTCGAGAAACCCCACACATACCTACACGCACACTCTTGGGCAATGAACACCTACGCTTTAGCTCTGCTAGTGCTCTGGGGTGGCCTCTTCCTGCCTCTCATGCTGCTTCACACGCGTCAGGTGTTTCAGTCCCTACAGCCTTGCTCTGATATACAACAACTGCTCGTTGTTCCTTGAAGAAGTTCAATGTTAACCTATTGCAGCTTCGATATTTCCGATCCTCGTTCTCATCGATAAACAAACGCGATACACCAAGACAGGATGGCATTCGACAACAACAACGAACGGCAGGCGGACTATCGTACATGGAAGTACTCATGCTGAAATTCGTGTACGCATAGCAGCATCATGCCTCGCAGTACGTATACAACCCTTGCTCTCCTCCTTCCATGTCAAGTTACCCACTGGGTATCGTAACATGTTGCTTATAGCAGTTATTGCTGTGGCGTTACGCTGTTGAACTTGGCTAAATAATGTGAATGTATAGACTCTCGCGTAAAGAAGCAGAAGGCATCCGGCACCTTCGACTGGAACTCCAAGCAAGTCCAGCGGGAGAAAGCCCGATTTAGGAGATATTGGTTCTGTATGATCGGATATACCCTTGCCAGAGTCAGATTCAAAGGGATGAAGAGGGTCCTGCTTCTGAATATTATACAAGATAGATTGCATGTTACCAAGGCAATTCTTCCCTTCTGAGAACTGACTTGCTCTGTTGTACGGTGCCGTTCCACGTCAACCTAGGGAAAAAGTGAACACCCTGGGATCTACATCGATGTTAACACACCCATTTTGCATGTACTCACCTTAATGTAGTCTGCAGACCTGTTCAGTTTTTCCCTTGTATGAGGTGCCACCCCTCTATGTCCCATCCTACTAAGACCGCAGATCATCTGTCGTCATACCTTCCCAAACCAACCCGTGGACCTAGCACCTCACACGCCAAACAAACATCACGATACCAACCAAACCCACCCCTCCACCCACACCACCCACCGCGCCAAATCCACAACAAACCACGCGTCCTCGCATCCTTCCCTCATCACGATACACGATACCCCACTTTCAGCCTTATCCCCCCACCAACCAACAAAGTCCTCACGCGCCCCATCACAGATCGAAGATCCTCATCTCCACAACCACGCAACTTGAAACACGCACACGTTACCCATACAGGAAGTTGGTGATGCTGTCGACCCGCCTCACTCAGCATATCCAACGCTGATGGGTCTCGCTTATGATGTAGGATTGGGGATCGTCGTCGATCCACACCTGATTAGATGTGTGTTGCGGGACGGGGGACGGAAGGAGAGGTGGGTTGTTGGAGGTGTACGTCAGCTAATTTTGCTTTATATAAGAGCTGGTCCGAGGAACAATATCAACATGCTGTCATCTTGGTTTTTCCTTGGTTCTATGCCAAGGTGTCACGATCACGATCAGCCTTTGACGTGATGTTGTTGTTATCCCGTGGGGTAGCATGGCATGGCATAGCATAGCGGGGTATCCTACCCGTCCACTCGACCCAACCATCCAACCATTGACAGCCAACATACAAACATCACGATGATATCCCGTCGACGTAACAAATACCCATCACCACGAACTCTAACACCTCTCCCTCTTACTTACCTCTCAGCCCGGAAGCAACCATCCCATCCAGCCATCCAGTCGGATCTCCAGCAACAACGAAGCTAGCCCAGTGTTTGGGTACTAACGCTCACCCGGCGCCCCGGATCATGGTGTGCCAAACTAAGCTATCAACTGAGGAAGGTAAAGCACGATTTTCCCCCCAACCTCAACGGTCTTGGCCGCTTTTCCAGTCAGCTCGCAGCTCCGCGTCTCAGCACGCTTTATCTCGGCGACCCAACGTTGGGTTGGGTTGGGGTGTAAAAAGGACCGGTTGCCCCCGCCTCTCTTTCCCGTTCTCTGTGTTGTCAATTTCTTCGTCTCTGGTCAGCTTTGGGCTTTCTTATACGAACGGGGTCCTGCTCGGTCGGGAGCACTTCGATTTCCTCACTCAAAGCAAATACAATCGCACGTTGGGCACTCTTCCCTTTCGACTGAGATGTTTTATTTGGCATTTCAATCTTGATTCCTCTCATCCCCAAGGTTCGTTTCGAAAAAAAGGTTTCCTCCACAGCCGAATATACAAGAAGATGGCTGGACCATACACACATTGGAAAGACCCCTCGCCTCTCCTCACCTGGCACCAAGGCCACGCTATCCAGCGCAGCCATGATAGCTCTCCCGTCCTCCTCGTCATTGAAAGTATTTGTAAAGTTATATGGGTTTATGTCAAAATAGGCTGAAGTTTCTTGGTGAAGAGATGAAGATTGAGCAAGAGAAAAAAAGATAAGGAAAAGAGAAAAAAACTCCGGGATATTTGTTGCAGGTGCTAGGCTCTCGACGCAAAGGTGAGCAAAAGACGGCAGGTTCGGATGATTGACCTGTACTTTAACCTCAAGGGCGTCGTCGGGGTTGTGACGGCCCTCTCCTCGGTGTGCAGGCTGCGTCTTTTTCCTTCGCGGAGATAGATTGCTAAATGGCTGGTATTTGGTTTGTGGTACAGGGCCGGAAGTACGGTGGGAAATGGAGGCGATGGAAAAAAACATGGCAAGAGATGTCGGGACGTCGTAAGGGCGTGTCAAGCGCAGAAGGCTCCTACTCCTCCATCCGTCCGAAGATCTCGTCGTCGTCCTCGTCGATGCGGCCGCGGCTGCGCGAGTTGGAGTAACGGTAGTCCTCCTCGTCGGCGAAGTGGTCGTCGTCCATGTCGACGTCCTTGCTCTCGCTGTGGTAGCGGTAGCTGTTGCGCATACTCGACTGCTGCGCGGTGACGGTGGTGCTACCTGACAGGGTACGGGCATTCAGGTCGAAATACTTTGCTGGTAGCGGGGGCACGGGTGGCACGTCCGGCGGGAGCGCAACGGGTCCCGTCTTGGGGGTGCCGTACGAGCAGCTCAGCAGGCCGACGGCGGCAGCGAGGTCAGCATGGTCATTGGCATCGTCATGGTAGGAGCCGGCAACCGAGGTGCCTGACGTAGTGGGGCGGTCAGACACGTTGCTCCACTGGCGATAGTGGTGGCCATTACCGTTGTCGGAAAAGACGGTGGACTGGTACGACTGGCTGTAAGCGGAGCTGTTGGCCGAGTAGCGCTTGAGGGAGCGGGTGCCAAAGTGCGAGTGAGGGTAGGATCCTACGGCATGGTCGTCGAGTTGCGGGGGCGGGGTAGTTTCAGTGGAGCTCAACTCCTCACGCAGGT